ATTCATTAAATAAATAAATAAATAAATAAATAAATAAATAAATAATAAATGGAATGCCAGGTGTATAGTATAGTAAAAACACGCTCCTCAGTTTCAAGGGAGGAGAATGAGGTCTTTCTCAGGGCCTCACCCAGCAGGACTGGGGCGCATCTCACTGGGCAGTGTACAGCTGTGGGAAAAGGAACCATGCCGTGCTCCAGGCCTGGGAACAGCGCGTGCTCCAGGCCTAGGAACAGCGCCCTACTCCAGGCCTAGGAACAGCGCCGTGCTCCAGGCCTGCTGGTGTCCGGCAAAGGCAGCTCGTCCACCACCGTCACTTGTATTTCAGTTTTTCATTGGGAAAAGAATCTGAATTTCTGTTTTTTTTTTGTTTTTTTTTTTACTAATATTAATTTGTAATATTAGCTACTAGTTTTGGAGAGCTGTCTTGGTAAAATAGGAAAAATATGTGACAGTTTTTTCTTATTGCTTAAAAGGAGAACAGCATGGCTGGTGTGTATAGTATGCATGCGTCTCTTCAGATAAATCAAAAATTCTACATATTAGCGTTTCAGGAGTTCTAAAATAATTAACTCCAGAATCCAACTTTTGTTCTATGCCATCCCCACATGTTTGGTTATGAGCAATTAACTGGTATTCATGATTAGCTAATTAAAATTTGCAAGTAATCAATATATCAATTAATTGCATTCCATGCACTATTCAAAAAGTGACAACATCTTTATAACATTACTTAAAACTAATATTAAATTTTCACTTGATATAGTTAAATCTTGCCTTTATGATTCATGGTGTAATTTTAATATCTGGAAATAATTCAATATCAATGGTTTTGAAATAGTGGTTAATTTTTGAATATATGTAACAGACAGTCAACCATCCCCAAACTTAAAATGAACTCAAAAGGCATATATTTTCTGAGAATTCACATTAAAAATGTCTACTTTTAAGTAGTCAAGAATTACAAATAAACTTTTTTTCTAGAATGGAAGATTTTTTAAAAGTATGCATGGTGTCAACTCTCATAGTCCCAGGACTGAGGGGGTAAAGGCAGGAGGATCAGAAGTCAAAGCCGATCCTACCTAGGTCGAAGCCAACCTGGGACACATGAGACCTTGTCTCAAAAATCAAATACTTGGGTATCAGTAATACACTGACACACACAACCCACACTGCCCCCAGGTTAGAATCATTCAGTACCACACTCTTTTAGGATGAGTGCTAACAGCTATGTCCGACTGGTGGTCACCTTTAGACTGCCTACCTGTGGCATCTGCTTTTCTTCACAGCACCTGGCCTAGCTCCTTCCTCTACTTGCATTGCCTTTGCTCTGTGTAAATTTTTTGTAGGAAATATGCTATGCTATTAGGAACAAGATGAAGAAATGGTCAAATAAGCAGGAAAATTATAAATTAATGCACATTTTCTGTGATCTGTGCAAGTTCAGGAATAACTACAACTCTGAATCAATGCACCTATCAAAAATGGAGTATAGCATACTAGTTTTAACTTATGGCAAGCTATGTAGGTTCATCAGCTAAATCCAGATTCTTCTCCCAGAAAAATATATAAAAACATGATCATCTTATTCACCAAAAAGTTTTTAACATAAAGTATTATAAGCCTTTTTATAATATAGTGGAAGTTTATAACAAAAGTTTGTACATAAGTTGTGGAAAGTAAAAGGATATTTATAAAAATTTATAATGGTTAACATGCTTTGGAAAAATATATTTAGTGCTAATTTAGAAAACAAACAGAAAAATCTTAAATGCAATGAGATAATTATTTCTGTTTTTTACTTATATTTTAATGTTAGTAAGACTATATTAATGCATTCGATGTTCACAAACCGAACCAGGAGTCATAATAACACTGGATTTATCTTTGCTAAAATTGTTAAAACTCTTCCAAAACAGTGAAAATCCATTGCTATGCTTAATTCTTTTCCCAATTGACTTATTTAATTTGCTTGCATTTTCCTTGCGAAAACTGAAGCATTGCTTTATTACTTACAAAGTTCCAGTGTGGACATCCTGGCCTGTCTAATCTAGACCGTTTATATGCAGTGCAGACTCTTGACTATGGAGAGAAGCAGCAAGTGTAGGGTGATGCAGGAAAACCGCCAGTCAATTCCATCAAACTTCGATGTGTGACGTTATTTTATAGTCATTTCTGAAGAAAATACAGCAATGTTTAGGATTGTGTTTCTCGGTGCTGGTGGGCCCTGGGGGCATGGATCAGTGTTGTAATGGAGGAGGTTGAGAACATCTTTGGACTGGGCTCACATTCCCACATATTCTGATGGCTTTGGTTGGAGGTGCAGTCTGTGCAGAGAGATTTTTAAAGCTATAGAAATCTAATATTAAAAACCAGCGGTTTCAAGTCCTTACCTCTTTTGTACTTAAATTTTAAGAGTACATAAGATCAGTATTTACTTTCATATTGTCTTACGATTAGAATGCTATAAAGCATGAAATTTAAAGAAATTACATATCAGCTAAAGTATTTGGTTAAAAGCATGTTTCTATATCAAAGTTGATCTTTATCCATCTCTGTATTCATTTGGTTAGAATAATACATTTTTGCCAAACACTGTGCTCTGGTCCATGTTCTGATCCATGTTCTGATCCAGAGAGATCAGAGATTGGTGAGGGTCACACGGCTCAGTGATGCTGACCCCACCCGGTGGTTGACATGGATTCCTGACCTTGATGGTGCTGCTACCTTTGTTTGCCTTCCTAGGCCTGAAGGGACTGGGAACTGGGCTGAGAATGAGACAGCTGGAAAATGAAACAAAAAATGAAACTTTCAGGTTTTACCTTCCACAACAGTAGAGCTATGCAGGGGGAGAGCTACGGCACAAACACAGCGGCCAGCTACTTTCCTCTAGTTCATAAGACGGTCTATTTGATAAATATTCTCTTGTGCCTCCCTCCTGCCAGGATGTGGGGTATCAGGTACCAAGTAATAAAGGTGACTCTGAAATGCGTTTTAGGATACAGTTTAAAGAAAAAACAGTCCTGCTCAAGAGTCAGAATTCATTCAGATTGAAGATATTTGATGGGTTTTCCCATGGTCACATCTCCTTATCAAAGGTAGCTACACTTCCAGAGAAACTGGAATCTTTGGAAGCAAGGTGCATTATTTCTTGAGAAATACTAAAGAGAGATTCTTTCACGGTCAAGTCGAGTGCGTATTTCTAGCTTGCATTAGCATTACTAAGTCATAACAGAATGACACTAGGCGACTGCTGAAATGTGTGGCCCACAGTGGGCTTTACATCTGTGTGGTCACAGCTGACCCAATCCAGCAGTAAGACTTTTAAGAAACAGTGTGTCTGAATTCCTACACCGATGGGATCATTCAGTTTATTCTTGGCTAGCTACACATTCACCCTCTGACGATTTCTCAGGACCTAAGGGAGACTTCCCCAAATAGTGTCATTATGCCATGTTGCTTGAATGAGGATGTGATTTGGAAAGTATCTGTTTCTACATCAGTTATTTAACCTATGCATTACAAGTCCACATGAAAGATATTTGAAACCTTGAGAAATTGATTGGTTCCTTAACTTGTCTTTGATGGCCCAAGCTGTTGCTTTTCCTTGGAGCAATGACCATAATTGTCTGGTTTTGTCAAGGGGAAATCTTGATCACAAAGACTTGGGACACATGGACGATGCTGTTAAATTGCTTATGACCAATGATTCATGGGAGAATTTAGATATTAATGCCTTCCTCCAAAATATTTGAATTGTAATATTTTTTTCTAAGATTCAGGGCAATCCTATATAAAATACAAAGATGGCAATCCCACTTTGCTTATTAAGTTTGAAAGGGGGTCTTGGGGGTATTGGAAGGCGCACTGGCTTTGTATCTTCAATATTTGGCTTTGTGTCGTGGTTTATATCTCAGCATCTCACCTTCAGCAAGTTTCTTGCTGTCTTTGAAGTAAATTATCTGAGAACTAGGCTGGTAACTCGAGGCACAGTCGTTGTGAAGGGAGAAGCAATTTGTATGCCGAAAGCATGCCGGAGTTATTTTTACTTTCCATTAGTAAACTCCTTCAAGTTACATTCTATTTTTTCCCCTAAGCCAGAAATAACTTTAGGTTCACAATGGAATCTATTAAATTAATAGCTGGGAGTACAATCTCAAAATAGTGATATATGTCCTTTCGTCGTAGATGAGCAACATCTGCTCTGTAGAGTTTTTTTCTTCATCATTTTGGGAAAGAAATTGTACTTTCAACATCAATTTTTAGCAGGTATAGTTTGAAATAGCCCATTCCAATAATAAAAAAAAAAACCCTGACAAATTTAGTATGAGTTCCTCAGCTGGTGCAATTTGTGTCAATGAAAGATGTTTCTGGGAAAATTCTCTGTTTATTGTCTGTTCCCATTTATAGCACACATGTGCCCAACCTGTTCATTTGGGGTCTTTCAGGTCACGATGGTGCAATGTTTACTCCAAGTCTTGGCTTCCTGTTGACTGAAAGATAATTCCTTTATCTTTAAGAAAGAGTTTAATTTACAAACCTTATCTTTTCCACCAAGACACCATCTCATGAGCATTTTGGTACAAAAACATACAAATTCTGATCTTAGTACATTAGGGGATTTTGTGTGTGCCTCAATTCAAAATGATGGTTGACTACCAGGCATGGTGGCGCACGCCTTTACTCCCAGCACTTGGGAGGCAGAGACAGGCAGATCTCTTTGAGACTGAGGTCAACATGATCTACATAGTGAGTTCCAGGCCAGTTGTGGCTACAGGGAGACCTTGTCTCAAAAAGACAGATAAATAAATAAACAAACAAACAAACAAACAAACAAACAAATAAATAAATAAATAAATAAATAAATAAATAAATAAATAAATAAATTGATGGCTGACAAAGATAGTTCCCTGGATCAGGAGCACCATCATGAGCTCAGTCTCTGGTGCACAGACATGGGCTGACATGCTGCTGTTCTGACTGCTTGTTTTCTCCCACAGCAGCACCTCTGAGCTCACTTAAACCCCCTCGAGTGGACACAGTTCCTGTGGTCGCATCTCCCTATCAAAGAAGAGAGTCAGACAGGTACTGTGGCCTCTGTGCAGCCTGGTTTAACAATCCTCTGATGGCCCAGCAGCATTATGATGGCAAGAAACACAAAAAGAATGCGGCTCGCATGGCTCTGCTAGAGCAACTTGGAACCTCCTTGGACCTGGGGGAGCTCAGAGGTAAGCTGTTTCTTAATTGTTGGCTTAAAACTGGGTTCTCTGCAAAAGCAGAGTTTGAGTTCCCAAAGTAGGATTCTGTTTCTTAGTATTTTAACTTTAAAGAAAGCCCAAGAGTCTCTCAAAAGGAATGGAGGCCAAAGAAAATAAGAAGGACCCTTAGCTTGAGTTTCCAGATCACTTTTGTTTCAAAGTATTTATTTCCACTGATCTATGAACTAGATTCCTTTCTTCTGTTTGCCCTTAAACACCTTCTTTACTGATTGCTTCTGTAGATGAGAGATATGAGAGAAGCTGGGAGGTCAATGACGTTCCCTTGTTTAAAATGTTTGCTTTTAGGAATTCCGTGAACCAAGCAATGAAAGTGCGTGTGGCCCCGCGCAGTCGTCTCCTGTGTCCACACCTCTCTAGGCTGCTGGAAGCCGTTTCAAGTTCAGGTGCGGCATCACTGAAGCCGTGAGCAGAGGCTTGGGAAGTGTAGAGAAATGATAAATCCTGTGGGTGCTTTAGGTGGCCACAACCAATTTATGGGCTTAATAGACTATTTTATCACTAATGGTCACTTAAGCACTTTTTGATTACGTAAACATTTTTTATTGGCTTGATATTGGCCATATAAAAGCAGAACAAAGTTGCACACTGCGTTTCATATTTCCTCAGAAAAATAATTCTGCAAAAGGTGTTGTTGATCCTGTACCTCAGATCTGGTACATAACCTGTTACATGTGCTTTCATGAGCTGGCCAGAAGAACACTAATCATAACAGCTGTAAACTACAAAATACAAAACTTACAAATTTGAGAACAAAATCTGATTTCTACTGGGTTCTGGGGGAAGAGCCCATGATCATTATTCTCAGTCTGCTGGTGGGCTTTTCCCATGGGAAATGACCAGTGATGATTCATAACCACATAAATGAGATCAGAGATCATTCTGTGAGGCAAGCACAGAAAAGGATAAGTTGGCAGGAGATGTGTGAACCTCATTTCAGCAGGTGAGAATTTTCACTGTGAGCAGAATCATGTGTGTGCCGAGAGGCAAGAGAGGCAAGCAAGGGGCAGGTAGGCGCCCAGTGCCTGGTTATAGGAGACTCCCAATGCTGTGTAGACATGAGATTCCAGGCCTGTGAAGTACCTCCAATGATCAGAAACTTATTCTTCCCAAGATATGTTTGAACAGTGACTAAGAATAAACATTCAAGTGCTTAGTTTTTTCATGTGCTTTCTAGTTATAGAGAAACAACATGTTGCTCGTTACTACTTCAAGTGTATCAGCTCACTTCACCATGTAGAAGGTTTTATGTCGTTGGCACTATCGCTGTTTTTGCTTGGAGATGTCTGATGTTCTCGGTCTTTGTCTTGTTAGAAATAGAGGCTGAATTTCTCCGTGGCTGGGGGCCGCCCCTCAACGCAGCTGTGCTGGCAGATAACAAGTTGGCCTTGTGATTTCTTCACGGCAGGGTGCTGGGGGAGACAAACAGGGCTTTATTTATGTTTTGTGCCAGATACTGACTTGTTGAGGAATTACTCCTATGATACATTCTTCTCGTCTATTTTGAATTGTCCATGCTGCATCTTTTATGCACAATCACATCCTAACGACTCGGGGTCTGACTGACGCTGGAGCAGCTTGTCCTTTACGTAGAAGACAAAAGGCTGCTTTGCACTTGGGGTCCACACGGTCCTGACCCAGTAGCACACGGAGTGCGGCTAGCACTGAGCAGAGTGTCCTTGAGCCAACCTGTTTATTCAGGTTGATGTTTGTGTACAGAGTTATTCAAATAATAAATATTACAGAATATTGAGGAGTAAAACAAACATGGCAAGTCGGCAGTTTAAACATAGGTCATGAAGCTGGGAAATGACATAGTGGTTAAAAATACATCATGCACACACACACACACACAAAATCAACAAATTTTAAAAAATGAATTATCTTAGAGGAGGAAGCATAAAAAGTTACATCATGTTAATTAGTAGAGGGGATAAACATTACCATTGAAATCTACCCAATGACTTTATAGCCATACACAGGTGCCAAGGATCCGAGTGCAACTGATTGTGACTAGTAATAATCAGATACATACAGATTAGAGACACATGCACCAACATCTCAGTGTTAGTAGCAAAAACAATGAGTCTTTCTGTAAGAAACAGTATATTTTAAAATGAAATGGAGGTCTTGTTGAAAGGTTAAGAACTCATTCAATTTTATGTCTTACAGGGCTTATACTGAGTTCAATATTGTATAACTGTATTAATTCAACAGCGAACCTAAAAATTTTATAGCCACTTTGAAAGAAATGTATCTTTGGTCTGGAAACTGTTATTGAGTATGTTAAAGCTGTAATGAAATGCTTCTTCTAAAAAAAAAATACATCATGTGCACATGGCCTAAAATTTTTGGCAATTGACGGCTGTTGGGAGGAGGAGAGACAGTGTCTGACAGGGATGGGACTCTTGGTGGGCCCAGTGGATGGACTCATGCTGAAGAATATTTGGGGATACAAATCAGACTTTATAGGCCATATATATACATATATAATATATAATATACCATATATAGAGAGAGAGAACATTGAGCTGGGTGAGGAGCAGTGTTGGAAGGTGCAGTTAGGTGCAAAATATCATCAAGCTCTATTGCATGAAAATTGCAAAATTAATAAAAAATAAAATTAAAAAAAGATCAGTTAATAAAGACAAAAATGCTAATCAGAAATACAGACCTGTCCTGCCTCCTAACAAATGGTACCAGGAGCGTGGAAACAAACAGCAGTGTCACAGCAGGCTAGGCTTCCCTAGCCTGTGCTTTTACATACCATTTAGTCCGTGCTTTTACATGCTATTTAGTTACATATTGTGGGGTTTTCATCTTTCTTTGTCTTCTTTCTATAGATTGTTAGCATGTCGAAAGCTGGCTTCTGTGTTGGGTTTTCTTATTGAGGTGTATGTTCAAAGTGTCTAGAATAGTAGGAGACATGTAGTAGTTGCTCAATAATTGCTGGATGAGTAAATACAGAAGTCCAAAAAAGAAAACCTGCCCACGGTCCTATGTGACCCAGAAGATGTTCCTCTGACCCTGTGATGATAAGCGGTGGACCCGCCTCCTTCCCGTGCTCTGCAAAGAAGCCACTCCCCTTCCCTCTTCCAGCCAATCGGTTGACCATAGCCACTTGCAGGGGAGGGGCTAAGGGTATGAAAGCCGGGAAAACCAGGAGGATGGTCTCTTGCCATTTTGTGAAGCTGTCGGGAACCACAGGATTTATGTCTGGGTGTGGACTTTCGAACACAGCTGTGAATGTGGGGGGCACCCGCTTGTCTGTAAATAAACCAACATCCCAACCTCAGTTAGCAAGTCCAATAAACTCTTTAAGATTCTTCAAACCAGGGTTTGGAGAATACTTTTCTCAGGTTGTCACAAGGACCGTAGGAGGAGGGGATTGGATGCCACGTGCACCTCCTAACAGTGAATTTGACTTACAACCTACAAGCCCAATTTCTACATGGATCCCAACTGAATGTTTTTGCAAGAGTTTTTTGATTCTTTTCTTCTAATTAAAAAAAAAATGCTGTAGATTTTATACACACTGAAATGCACAGATATTAAGTATTATACTTTGATACATTTTGACAGTGCAAGTACTGGTCTAACTCATAACTCTTGTTATGACACATGCTAGTCTTATCATGGGAAAATATCCATAAAGCCTTTCCTGGTCCATCCCAATCTTCTGATCCAGGGGACTTGATCAGAATTTCACATGAATGGAATTATAAAGAATGTATTCGTGTGTGTGTTTTTAGCTGCTTTTGCACAGCATACCATTTTTGAAAGCTATCCATTTATAGTGTATGAAACAAAATAACTGTAGTGAATAATATTCGCAGAAATCCCCTAATTTGTCTGTTTTCTTCTTAAGGACGTTCACTTTATTGTGGTTCTGACCTCATGTGCACTAGGCAAGTGTTCTAACTCTGACACACACACATACACATGCACACACACACACACACACACACACACACCTTGCAGATTTTCTTATTGTTCTGATACTCTATTAAAAAGCTTCCGTGAATTTTTTTGTTCATTTTATTCTTACCTTTGTCAATATCACATTTTATTTCCAGGGCTAGAATCACTAGATCATAAGTTGTGTGTGTTTTGGTTACAGAAAGAGCTGTCGAAATCTAAAACAACTATATGCTTTGAATCCCCCAGAGTTACCTGCGCAGATGGTCTTCACTCATCAGTGTTTGCTGATGGAAGCCTTTTGAATTTCAGCTATTTTTGTTGGTGTGCTGATGTGTTTTGTTGTAGCTTTAATTCCTATTTCCTTTTGTGCTAGTACTGTCACTGTCTTTTATGTCTTTGCCTATTTTGATAACCTGGTTGTCTATCTTTGTGTTATTTAGTAGATAGAAGATTTTGAGTATTACGGATGCATGTCCTATATCAGATAGATGAATTGGGACTATTGTCTCCTAAGGTGAGAATTAGTCTTTTAAAAAATATTTTTACTTTTATTTCTATGTCTTTCTGTGTTTGTGTTTGTGTATGCTACATGTATGCAGGTGTCTGTGAAAGTCAGAAGAGGGAGTTGGATCCCCATGAAGATGGAGTCATAGGTAGAGCTGAGCTGCCAGGCATGAGAGCTGGGAACTGCACTAACGGGTCTCCTGGAAGAGCAGCCCATGATCTTAACTGCTGTGCCATTTCTCCAGCCCCTTTCTCTTTTTCTTTTTCTAAAAAATATTTTATTTATTATTTTTATGTGTATGTATAGCCTGCATGTAGGTAAGTGCACCCGTGTCATGCAATGCCCACAGAGGACAGAAGAGGCTGTTGGATCCCCTGGGACTGAAGTTACAGACAGTTGTTAGTGCCCATGTGGGTGCTGGGATTCGAACCCGGGTCTTCTGCAAGAACAGCCAGTGTTCTTAACCGTTGAGGCATCTCTCCAGCTCTCTAGTCCCTTCTTCATTTCCTGAAAGAAGTCTTTGATG